GCACAGTTTTTCTTACAATAAAGAATTCAGATGTAGGAATATTATTGAATATAAACAATTGAAAAAGATAAACTATTACATTTACACTAGTACTTCAGAGCACTTGATATATTTAAATGAGAATCAGCATGAAGTATGTTCAATAGCATGAGGACTAGTGACAGATAGATCAAATTCAGGGTTTTCTATACTCAAACTGTGTGACCTTGAAAAGTGCAATGGCAGTAATAATAATACTTACGCCATAGAACTTTTCTGAAGGGTAAAAACAATACAGCAAGAGTCAATGCACAGTTAGTGCAGAATTGTGTCTATCATGTCATTTAAATGTTTGTTAAATAATTCTTTTGCTAGGTTAAGCTTTCTCAGTGGGTTGTTCCATGGTAGATACATGGATCCTGGATATTTGGAACAGAAAATGGAAACGTGAACACTCTACCAAGTCAAAAGCAAATTCTCTTTTTTAAGGCTGCAATTTGCTGATTGATAGTAAACTATTTTGGTGAATTGGAGTGGTGATCTCAAATGTAATAAATATGTATAAATAAAATATAATACAAGAATATCAAAGACACATTACTTATAACTGCTCTAGGCACTTTCAGTCATTTAAATGTTTTAATTTTACATGAAAGACAAAAATGCCTCTTCTGGTGAATCTTTGGTAGTTTTGTGAAATTTATTAACATATAAAATATATTGCTTTTTTATGCTTTAGCAATGATTTTATAAACTAAAAAGTAAAACAATGATTGAAATTCAGTAATTAAATAAAATTATTTTGATGTAGCCAAACTGGAGAAAAGGAGTAGTTTAAAATTTTAGTGTTTAGATTTTGTATCTCAGTTTATTATGAATCTGAAAGAAACATTTTAGGGAATACAGCAATAATAGAAAGTCATTTCCTATAATAGCATAGTTTTTGTGGTGTAATAAAAGGTTACATGACAAGGTCAGACTACTTCATTTCAAAGCTAAAAATGATTTCTACACTGCCCTGAGGTTTGCAGATCTCTGACTGAGTGGTCCCTGGAAGCCTTGTTCATTTTGGTGTTTATATATTTAATGACTATCTAGAAATAAATAAGACTAGTGCTTAGAACCAAGTTTTAGGATGAGCAATTTTTGTGACTATCACGTATTTTTTCTTCTTTTAAAACCTGTAATTAAACATTGGTTTCTCAGGCCTGAATCATCCTTTTCTTATTAACTGATGGTTACTGACAACTGACTTCCACTAGGTGCAGTTCCAGTAGTTGTTAAGTGACTCTGATCTTGGCCAAAAGGCCTCATCTGTCTAGAAATAAATGGGCACTTTTATTTTACAGTTAGCCTTGCTCTGATACTCTCTAGTGACAGAAGCCTAAGATGGAATATTCTGCACTTCATGCAATACATTAACAACAAAAATTCTTTTCACAGAAGAGCAAATTTAGGATATAGCTTTTTATATTGTTGCCTCAAACTGTTATTTATATCCATGGTTGGAAATAATCGTGAAAAATGTATCATTGATTTTTCAACCCATGGATGCTGCAAATCTATTTGAATATGGAATGACTTGACGCTGTCTCATGTTTTTTACATTACATTATAATTGTCTGCTGTTCCATAATTTACCTTTATAAAATGTATAAGTGAATAAAATTTTTTATACATTATTAACATTAACTTTATAAGTAAAATTAAATAATGGAGTAATTAAAACTTGACTGTTCCTGTTTGTCGCACTCCGTTTTTTTGTTTGATTCAAATATCACTTCCAGCACTATCCATTTTGTTTTTGAGATGGAGTTTCACCCTGTGGCCAGGCTAGAGTGCAGTGGCGCGATCTTGGCTCACTGCAACCTCCGACTCCCTGGATCAAGTAATTCTCCTGCCTCAGCCTCCTGAGTAGCTGGGATTACAGGCACGTGCCACCACGTCCAGCTAAGACAGGCTTTCACCATGTTGACCAGAATGGTCTTAATCTCTTGACCTCATGATCTGCCCACCTCTGCCTCCCAAAGTGATGGGATTACAGGTGTGAACCACTGTGCCCAGCCAGCACTTTCCGTATTTTTTTGTTATTGTTGTTAGTTTTTTGTTTTTTGTTTTTTTTTCTTTTGAGGCGGAGTCTCACTCTGTCACCCAGACTGCAGTGCAGTGGCCTGATCTCGGCTCACTGCAACCTCAGCCTCTTGGGTTCAAGCAATTATCCTGCCACAGCCTTCCAAATAATTGGGACTACACATGCATGCCACCATGCCCGGCTAATTTTTTGTATTTTAAGTAGAGACGGGGTTTCGCTATCAGTTTTTATTTTCTCTACTTTTATTTTCATTGGCAAATTTTTTCCTTACATTGTCTATTTTTTATAAAATGTCATATAAATTTATCACAAGGGGACAAGGAAGCAATGCAACTACACATTATGATTTATGTGCTTGAACTGAGTAAGTAATGCCTAGTTATCAATAATTGACAGAATTTGAAAGAAGTGATGTGTGTGTCACTGATCATGATGTACCTCTTTTATTTACATAGTGATTTGTGTATTGAAGTGCTACTAAAGAAGTTTGTACTTTATACAATTACTCACAGTTGGTATACCATGTGAACTGCAATTTGAACCCTGTTTTTGGGGGGTGACTGGTGTTATTTAACTAAACCATGTAACTGAAATTTTTGCATGTTAGAACCATGTAAAAAGAGGACTGAATATACACTGTATATATTCAATTTCATTCATTATCAGAAATAGATAAATTGAAGTTACAATGCCATACCACTATACACTTAAAAGAACGGCTTTGGTAGGCAGAATTCTAAGATGACACATGACTCCAGCCCTTAACTTTTCTTCACTGGGAAGATGATAGGGCATCACTGCTGTGATTGTTAGTTGGCAAAAGGGATTTTGCAGATGTAATTAGGGCTACTAATAAGTTGACTTTGAGTTAATCAAAAAGGAGATAATCTAGGTAGACGTAACCTAATCACATGAGCCCTTTAAAAGCAGAAAGAATTTTTTTTTTCCCTAGTTGGCAGCAGAAGAAGAAATCAGAGATATTTAAAGCACGAGAGGGCTTCAATGTGAAGGATGTTCCCCAGTGCTGAGATGGATGGGCCATAGGCCATGAACCTGTGAGTAGCCCTAGAAGCTCAGAGTGGTGCCTAGACACAACAGCTAGCAAGGTAAAAGGAGACTCGAATCCTGCTACTGGAAGGAAGTAAATTCTGTTAACCTGAGTAAGTCTGGAAGTGGATTCTTCACACAGAGACATTAGATAAGAGCGCAGACTCATTGATACCTTGATTTTGGCCTTGTAAGACCCTAATCAGGGAACCCAGTTGAACCCAGCTGGATTTCCGATCTCCAGAACTGTGAAATGATTAATGGATGTTATTTTAAGCTGCTAAGTTTGTGTTAATTTTTTATGCTGCAATAGAAAATTAATACAATATTAAAACTTTAATAAGAAAAAAATGACAAAACCAAGTGTTGGTGTGGATGTGGAACAACTGAAACTCTTTCTCTATTGTTGGCAATGCAAATTAGTACAGACAGTTCTGAATTGTATTTGGCAGTAGCTACTAAAGCAGAACATAAAACATGACTATATCCTAGAAACGATTACAGCTTCTTGATTTTTTTTAATATAAATGTGTTTGTGCACTGTTTAAAAAAGTACAAGAATGTTCATAGACAATTGAAATAGCCCCAAACTGAAAATAGCTTGTGTTCATTATTAATGAAATGTATAAAGAAATTGTGGTATATTCACTAGTGGAAAGCCACACAGCTATGAGAATGAACCAACTGCTACTAGACATAGATGAATCTTATAAGCACACATTGAATGAAATAAAAAACACATAAAAGAATATGCTTGGGCCGGGTGTGGTGGCACATGCCTGTAATCCCAGCACTTTGGGAGGTGGAGATGGGCGGATCATGAGGTCAGGAGATTGAGACCATCCTGGACAACATGGTGAAACTCTGTCTCTACTAAAAAATACAAAAATTAGCTGGGCCTCATAGGATGTGCCTATAGTCCTAGCTACTCGCGAGGCTGAGGCAGGAGAATCACTTGAACCTGGGAGGCAGAGGTTGCATTGAGCTGAGATCATGCCACTGCACTCCAGCCTGCGTGACAGAGCGAGACTCCTCAAAAAAAAAAGGGCCTGGTGCGGTGGCTCATGCCTGTAATCCCAGCACTCTGGGAGGCTGAGGCGGGCGGATCATGAGGTCAGGAGTTCAAGAGCAGCCTGACCAACCTGGTGAAACCCCGTCTCTACTAAAAATACAAAAATTAGTCAGCATGATGGCGGGTGCCTGTAATCCCAGCTGCTCGGGAGACTGACGCAGGAGAATTCCTTGAACTTGGGAGGCGGAGGTTGCAGTGAGCCAAGATCGTGCCACTGCTCTCCACCCTGGGCGACAGAGCGAAACTCCATCTCAAAAAACAAAACAAAACAAACCAAACAAACAATAAAAAAAATGCTCCCAAAAGAATATGATCCCGTGTGTATAAAGGTCAGAAATAGGCAAAACTTCTTTATGGTTCTATAAATGATGATAGTGGTTAAGTTCAGAGGCTACAGTAGTGTTTGAGAAGGGGTACCACAGGAGGATTTAGGGTGCTGGTGATGCACTGTTTATTGATCCTGATGCTGACTTAGCAGGTGTGGTCATGTTGCAAAGATTCATTTAACTGTATATGTATAACTTGTGCACTTTTCATTCTTGGATGAAAAGCTGTTTTAGAAAAGGACTATAAACTGTTGGCAATACTTTTTCCATCCTGGGCTTTAAAAAAGAAAAATTGCCCAAGGTCATATAGCTAGTGAGTGAAAAGACTTAGAGCAGAAAATATTTAAGGATAATTTAATAATTAATGTTTTAGTAGAATTAGATCTTTTATTAGACTAAATATAGAAAGGGAAAAAAGGAGAAGTGAGACTAGTTCATAAATAATTTTGACATTTACAATTTCTCGGTTTTTTTGAACAAACAGTTTGCCGGGAGGACTCACATCACTCTGTCGTCTCATGTGCTGCAGTAGTTCTTACTCCTATGGAACCAACAATAGAAATGAAGAAAAGAGAAGAACCAAAATTTCCTGAGCCTTCCAAACAGTGAGTTGTTCATTTAATTTTTCAAGGCCTTGTAAAATCAATTAGATAACTGATAAGAAAATGTGATTTATAATAAATGCGTTAATATTATTATAAAGAAAGAAATAAATTTTGTGCATTAAAAAATAATCTCTTCTATTTTGTCTCAATGAATAACTTCTGTCTTCAATTGTGATCTTAATGATGGCGCTATCAAATGGAAATTGTTTATATCCTACATACCTCACACTATTATTTCGAGAATTAAAAGATAGGTGTGAACATATGACAACACAGTATAAATGCCAAGAGAGTGATTAACTCAAAACTCTTGTCAATGACAGAAGCCAAATGTTAACTGGTTTCAGAAAAAAGAATCAAGAGTGCTGGTGGTTATCGGCTCTTGTAATTTATGAAGTACAAAGGTAGCAATTTCTTCAAGTACAGTTTTGGTTCTCAAATGATATCATCAAGGGTCATTCTCTCTATCTACATCTTTTTGCTTGACTCTTCTGTCTGGGGTTTTCATTTTCTGGGAGGATCCTCTAGTGGTGATATTGCTGCCTTCAGCAGGAACCGGGATTGATTTTCATTTTCTCCACAAATCCAGTGGAAGGAGGTAATTTCTCATTCCTTTTAATCAAAGCAAAAATAACCCAGATTTGAGTGTCATTGGATTGGCTTTGACTAGCTTGGCTTGTTTGACATGGCAATTCTGAAACAATCGCTATATCCAAAAGTATTTAGTGGTGATTGACTAGATAATTTGTTGTTGCATGACAAGCCCTGGAACACAGAAAGAAATGTGGAGGGGAAAAGTGATTCCACAATTGACATATTGGTGATATTGATAAAAGAAGGCAGAGATAGATGAGGTGTCAAAATAATGGATGTTCAATATAGGTAATATTATCACCATTAATTTTAAAAGTCAGAATTCTTTATTATATTTAAATCATAAACATTTAAATACTAAAATATAATGTATGTATCTTCATTTCTTATTTTAAATGATTTTTTACCTACTTAATTTTATTTTATGTTATTTGTTCTGGCTGTGCTATTGAGAGGCTGTATAACTCAGTGGTTAGGAATCCAGGTCTTGGGCAGATTCTTCCCCCAACTCCCCCAATTTTCTTAACCCCTGGGCACTGTGGCTTGCACCTGTAGTCACAGATACTCACCAGGCTGAGGGGGAAGGATCATTTGAGCCTAGGACTTTTAGGCTGCCAAGAGCTATGACCATGTCACTGCCTTACTCCAGCTTGGGTGACAAAGCAAGACTCTGTCTCTAAAATAAATAATAAATAAACCTTCTTAACCTTTGTTTGTTTCTTTTTAATGTGGGAGATACTTTACCTCATAATGCAATGCCTAAAACATAATAGAGAGGCAAGAACATATAAATTGTGTAATTTTTTTGCAGCAAACATAATTGTCAAATAGCCACATCAACTGTTTATAAATGAAGTTACTAAAGCCCTTTATGATATCAGTTTTGTGTATTTTGGATTTCCCATAAGAAAAAAAATACTAGATAGGGCTGGGCACGTTGACTCACACCTTTAATCCCAGCACTTTGGGAGGCCAAAGCGGGCAGATCACTTGAGGTCAGGAGTTCGAGACCAGCCTGACCAACATGGTGAAACCCCGTCTCTACGAAAAATACAAAAAAACTAGCCAGGCATGGTGGCAGGCACCTGGAATCCCAACTACTTGGGAGGCTGAGGCAGGAGAATCACTGAACCTGGGAGGCAGAGGTTGCAGTGAGCTGAGATTGTGTCATTGCACTCCGGTCTGGGTGACAAGAGCGAAACTCCATCTCAAAAAAAAAAAAAAAAAAAAATAGTAGACATAAAATAATCACCCACCAATATAAAACTAATGCTAGAAGTTGAGATATTGTCTTTGGATAGTAAATATTTCTTTTTAATTTAGGATGGAATTACTTCTTTAAGTAAATTTTCCCCTTGAATTTTACAGTCTTCACATATAAATTCATAAATCATTGACTCTTTAAAATATAGGATTCATAGAGTCATCTAATTCAGAACCCAGTAAATTTGTTGCTAAGACTAACTGAAATAGTCATCTCAGAATATGTAAGACTGTACATAAGAAAGAATATGTAATACATAATTACATCACTTTAGAAAGTAAAAAACATTTTATGACTGAGATATTTGTATTATCTAACCAATGTTTAGTTATATTCTGATGATAAATATTTTAGTTTTGACAATTTGTTATTAAATATTCTCATGTATTTATTAGTTTTTAGACATTTGATAAGGAGAAATAAGAATTAGGAACTCCTACTAGGAATGAAGTATAAACTTTTCAGCATAGCAAGTGATAGGGAGAAACTATCTAAATCTTTAAGAAGGAAAGCTATATTGCGCCTTACAGTAGGAGAGGACCAGAGCGTTCCACTTGTTGCAATATCTAAAATTCATCTTAATTCAGGAAACAAAGATGGGGATTTTACTTCACTTCTGAGTTTAGTTTGATATGTAACTCATATGGAAAAGAAAAACTTGCTAAAAAATAGAATATTCTATGTAATCCAAAAAGAATGTACAATTTTCAAATATTTAATCATAAGCATAGAATGCTGGGGTCAAAGCTTTGAGAGTGACTGTTCACAATAGTCAAGTCATGGAATCAACCTAAGTGCCCCTCAACAGATGGTTGGATAAAGAAAATGTGATATATATATATACACCATAAAAAAAGACTGAAATCATGTCTTTTCAGCAACATGGATGGAGCTAGAGGTCATTATCCTAAGTGAAATAACTTAGAAAATCAAATATCACATATCCATACTTATAATTGGGAGCTCAATAATGGGCACACATGGACACACAGAGTGGAATTATAAATTCATAAAAATCCTACTATTAAAAGTATGCCCAAATATCCAGCTACACTCAGCATGTTCCTCAAAACTCTACTTTTCTCAAGTCGGTTCTATGTAAATGAGCATTTCATGAAATGTACATAGAGCTCAAACTCTGAAGAGAATGAAAGAATAACCATGATTGGCTTTGGATTATATTTTGTATTAATACTTTGTGAGAAATATGCTTGTTGAAATGCAAATATTCTGTACATACCATACCTCAAAGTCTGAAATGAAGGGATTTTTATGCCCATTGTAAAGTTAGAAATGCAGAGGTAAAATAAAAATTAATCTATTCTTTGTCCATGTCCACGTTTTTATATTATTTTATATAAATAAATCTAACCTTAGGAATAGATTTGATTCATTGTTGACTCTTGCGTAGATGAAGCATTACTTAAACGTATTGTCATTCACTCCAAGTTTCAAGACCTCTTTGTAATGCTTCAATTTCTTGTCATGAAGTAGGTTCAAGAAGCTCCTTCTGAAAAGTCACAGATGTTATCATTTGGTACAAAAGTCTTATTTTTAAATAATTGCTAACACTAACCTATTTTATTCTTAGAGGGTACTTAACACACAGGTTTAAAGTTTTGTCAGCTCTTTTTGTTTATTTATCTGAATGAATAGTACATGTTAGATTTGGAACAGTTAAGTACTGTCTCTAAGGTCACCGCTTTAGTCTCCTAAAGTTGTTACACAAACTCTGTAGTTATATTGAAGAGACATCAAAGAATAATATTACAAGCTGATCTCCAATTTTCCTTGACAATCTTCAGGGGAACATATTTATTTATGCTTTTAGGCAGATATGTGTTTGTTAATTTATCAAAAATAGGTAATTCTTGAGTGTCTGCTTTGTTCTTGGCACTGTGCATAGTGATAGGGATTTTGTGTTGGAAAGCAGGTGAAATCCCTTCTCTACTAAAAATACAAAAATTAGCTGGGCGTGGTGGTGCATGCCTATAGTCCCAGCTACTCGAGAGGCTGAGGAAAGAGAATCACTTGAACCTGGGAGGTGAAGGTTACAGTGAGCCGAGATTACGTCATTGCATTCCAGCCTGGTGACACAGCAAGACTCTGTCTCCAAAAAAAAGAAAAGAAAAGAAAAGAAAAGAAAAAAGCAAAAGTGTAGCTGTGGCTATAATGTAGAGGTGTATCTCATTATAATCTCATTATAAGGGCTGGTAAGAGGTTGTAACATAGCCAAGGAGGTCAGGTAAAATGTCCCTGAGGAAGTGACTCTTGAGCTAACGTCTACAGAATATTAGTTAACTAACTGAAAAAACAAAATAGCTTCTTAAAGTATTCTGTGATGGATGGGAGTGTGGAGAAATTGAAGGAAGGCTTGTGGGAGGAAAAGGAAGCCAAATTATGTTAGCAGGGCCAAGCAACATGGTCAGATTTGCCTTTTGAAAACTTTGTTTGTTTGTTATAGAGAATGAATTAGGTATGGTTGGGGTAGTGGTGAAATGGAGCTGGCTTAGGAGAGCCAATTTGATAGCAGTTCTCCCCAGCTCTAGATTCAGTGACTTCACACTGAAAGTTTGAAATCAGCCATGGTGGGTGTAGTTACATCATAGCATTGGGAATTCTACAAATGAGGACTTTCCTCCTCTCCAGGAGAGCTAGTTAAATAGTTATCAGTACATTACTAAATGGAGGACAGATTGAGTGGCTACAGTGAGATCATTTAGGTGATTGCTGATAGTAGCTTGGACTAGGGTGCTGGCATTGGGGATGGGGAAATGTGAAAAGAGAACTGTGTCAATATATATTTATGAGCCGTGGCAAGTTAAATACAGTTATTAAACTAATAACTTACAATACATTGCTAAGTATTTGCAGTAAGAATGAAAATGAGAAATTATCTTCATTACTAATTGTAATTATGATAAATATATAATATTGTGAAAATCCTAACATGTTATCTTGATTTAGTAATAGTTTAATGAATGGAGAGTCATGATATTCTTTTAATTTATGTTGAGTGTTATATCAATTGAACTATAAGTGTAACATGCACACACATAAATGCACTTTGCATAAAATTCCTTTCTGAATCATTGTCCTTAATTCTTACTGAAACTGTCCACAATATAAGTAAGTTCCACCT